ATAGATATTTTCTTTACATATTTTCGATATATTTTCAAGGGCTTTTTTATATTTATAAATATGTTGTCTTAGAAGGGCAGTTTCATCACTCAGATTCCATTTAGGCAAAAGCGCTAACTACCACTATTAATTATTATTAAATATTACCACATAATTATCAGTAAAGTAAAGCAGCTTGTGTTCTTATTTCAGACGTGCTGAGTTTGTAGTGTACACTTTCAGTAAAAACTGCACTTTTGGAGCAAGATGGTGGCCACTCTTCCATAAAGGCCAGATTTGTGCAGTGTACGACTGATTGTTGTCCTATGGACGAGGCTCTCCCACCTCAGCTGTAGTTCTCTTGAAAAGTTCAAGGGGCCGGAATACTTTGCAAGGCACTGTATGTACCTAAATCTCTTAAATTAGCAGTTATTAAACCACTGATAAGAAGAATCACATCTTTAAACCTTCCCTGATACTTCCAGTTTTCCATGAATGTGGGAACCCTGAACCTGGGCTCTCGTAGCCTTGAAATATAAGAAAATGCATAAATGCTTTCCTTGTCTTTCACTTGTACAGGTGTAACACCAGTTCTTACCTGGTTTCGACCATGGAAAGTCAAAGTGAGCCTTGATGTTTTTCCACTTTGTGGGGAGATTCACTACTGGTCTTACAACAGAGCACCATCCACTGTATGGTACTTTTTGCTCCAAGTTGTCCAGCTGTATTTTGAATGGGACAAGGATGACATCCGACATCTTAAAGAGGAGCAAAGAAAACAGAGCTTGTAAAACAACATGGAGGTCATATTCCAACAGAACCCCAAATTATGTCCAGCATCAGCTCCAGTGATCTGGCCAAGCACTGCAGGAGGAGGACTCGTGGGGTTAAAGAAACCCACACAATGATACAAGAACTGTTGGACTGCATGTGGGAACTGACTGACATCACGGGTCTACGCCTTGTAAATCCAGCTAGCATGACACGCGTGTGGGAGGTTCAACAAAAGCACTTGCCATGCATCCAAGATCCAACCGGTGTTCAGCTTTACACCAAAATGGGCTTTGGGTTACAGAAGGAGACAAGGTCCTGGATGTTCTGAGGTGTGGCAGAGGGTCCTCTTCTCTGGAAAGCTTTTCGCCACACAGTGCAATTTTATTCCAGGTAAGTTGAAATTGTATAAAAATTTCATGTGCATGTATAGGTATATATTTGGCATTAATCATTTATTGTATTTTCATGGTTGCTATTGAATTCTTAATCACAAGAAATTAATTATCTTATGTATTTGTCTGTGGAGGAAAATATATATATATATATATTAACTAAGTAGGGAAATAATTTACTAAATGCAATTAGTATTTAAATAATGTGAAACATCTTGTCTTTTCAGGGTGGAGATGTAATGCTCTGCACACTCAGATGTACATGCTTGAGGGGGCATCTAGATGGAACATCAACCGAGCTTATCAAGCTGTGGATAGGAGTGGTACATCACAAACTAAAATCTATGATGTCCGTTTGATGTCTCACGAGCGTCCTCAGCAACAGAGTCCTCGAATGTGCACTCCTGCCAGAATTCATACCCCCTGGGAAACCCACGGTAACACTCAACACAAAATTTGTGCTGTTTAGAAGCTGGACTACAATGCATACTGGCAATATGACCGACTGCAACAAGTGATACCATAACAGTGATATATGATGTGTGCCGAATGTTACGTTGAATGCATTTCGTTTAGGTTGCGTTCTTCTGTCTGTGTGATTTTATTTTCTTAATTGATTACATTTTTTGTGAGTGATTAAACTAATGTCAAATAACTGAGTATTCATTAACAGCACTACATTCAATAAATATGCCAGGCTTGTTACTTCACTCTGATCTATTCCTCTCAATTCAGAATGTTTTTATGGTTCTTTATGGCGGGTGGCGTATAGCTGTGGAGTACTTGCTGGCACAGTCTGACAGGGGAGACCTGCTGGTTCCGCTGCAGCACGAGTGAAATTGGTATCGCTCTGCCAGAGATGCAGGTTGAAAGCCAGGAGGATGAGACACATCCAGATGTCACAATATGTGATCCGGCTGATCTCAGTTTCAACACTTCACACCCCCAGCTGTCTTAACATGCATGTTGATTCATTCAACTCATCATCTCAGGTAATGTGACACTTTTTTGATTTTCAGTCAGTAAAATTACCTATGAAAAATTACTTTACAGGTGCTATGAATGAGTTGTTGTGTGATTAATCTACAAGTAATCATTTTTTATAACCCAAGTTCTCTCTCTCACATGTTTACAACTAAATAATCTAGGAAACCAGTGTTGCAAGTGATGGCTCTCACTTTCCTGACAGTGACATTGAGGACATTAGCTCTGGTGTTCCTCGCCCATCAGCGCCGGTAAAGTGGCTAACACTTGATCATTTGTGAGTGTGAAGAATAGTTTATCACAGAACTGTTACTGAAATAACTTTTATAATTTAGGATTTGGTTTTTTGTGTGTCCATCTACTTTTTCAGGATGGTCGGGGTGTGATTCAAGGGGTGTTCCTGGATGGGAGGCAGTGGATAACTTGGCAGAGTACCTTGTTGGTCTCAACCGCACTATAACTGCTTTGTCAACCACTGAGATATCTCAGATTGTGAGGTTGTATTCTTGTCTGCATGCCATTGACCAGTCTCCAACTAAATATTCGCTTAAATGTAAGAAGAAGACCTTGCCAGGACCTTGGAGAGCTTCCCGGAAGAAGGTGGCTCGGCACCTGGTCAGCAAGCAGCTGAGAGGTGAATTAAACTTTAGTGGATGCACACATTTTGTAATTTACAAATATAATTAGTATGATCCATTTTATCTCATTAAACAACAGTTAATTCAATTTGGTTGGCTGGGAGGCATTTTAAGAATGCTGATATTTAGCTGGTAACAGCACTGGGACTTTTCATTGTTATCGATGTTCACTTTGTGCGTATTTGTGGCTTTCATAACTGGCAATATTGTGTCTAAAATATATGTTACTCAATATTAACTTCTTGTTTATAGAACTGTTGTATAAAAGCAATGTCACATGAGCATGGGTGTTGTTCTGAATATCAGAATGGTTGTGATTACCTGTGGCCCTTGGCCGTGGCTGAATCACAGCTGTATGATATTCTGGAACAGCAGCAGAATATTGATTACTTTCTTCTATCTTTTTATTCCCAGACTGTTCATGACTCATGGCCAGGCTGCCCAGAGACCTGATGTGAACAGGGTTTGAATGTGTTGCCATCAGGCTTCTGAAAAAGTATCGGGAAGTCAGAAATAGGCCAAAAGATAAAAAGGAAAACCTTTCCCATTCCCAGGCAATTGTTATGACATACAGTCACATCAAACAGCTTCTTGAAGACTGCAGAGAGTTACTGGACCAGACCAACTTAGTGCTAGTAACAATAAACAACACCACAGTCTCTTCTTGGTGAGATGTGTTTTGGCTTCCTTGATTCATTTCAATTGTAAAACATTTGTGATATATTTGTATGAACAATATACAGAAATAAAAATTAACTGCAAGTTCATTCTATTGAGAACATCTTATGCAATTCAGTTCAATTACTAAAACTGTCTAATCCGTCCACCCACCCACAGGCTGCTTGACCGAAAAAAGAGAACGACCGGGACTCCTTGCTGCAAGGAGTGCAGCTTCCTCAACAGGTAAATTCGGCAAAGGATTCCCTGCCAAATGCTAGGAGTCTCCCATCTTCACCTGTGGAGCATGGACATGCAGTCATGGAGTTCAAGGAGCCTGAAAACCATGAGGGTGAGGCAATGATTACCCGACGTCACTGTGGCAGAACTGGGACTGCAGTGTCTTCCACCATGCACACACACACTGGGGTAGGACATCTTTACTGGCCTGGGACACAGAATTGTCCTGAGTGGGATTCCGGCAGGGGTCAGTTCTTCTGGCTGGTCACCCTATCCACGGGACAACCACCAAATCCAGCGCCACTCTCTCAGGCATGGCCGCCCCTATCCACCGGGACAACCACCAAATCACGCGCCACTCTCTCAGGCATGGCGCCCTATCCACTGGGACAACCACCAAATCCAGCGCCACTCTCTCAGGCATGGCCGCCATATCCACTGGGACAACCACCAAATCCAGCGCCACTCTCTCAGGCATGGCCGCCATATCCACTGGGACAACCACCAAATCCAGCGCCACTCTCTCAGGGATGGTGAGCCTATCCACAGGGACAACCGTCAGCTCCTATCTTGGCAGCACCCTCTCCGGAATCGTACACGTGAGTGGAGACTGCAAGAGACAGTACTTGAGGATCAGGAGCGTGTGGCTAAAGGGAACCGCCTAAAAGCGGCACTACAGGCGAAGGCTACCACTATCAGTGTAAAGACTGTGGTCAAGCAAAAAACAAACTTTCTGGCCATACCCAGTTGAGAGGAAATGGTACTGTCCCGAATCTGGGCAAACCATCACAGAGTGGAAAGCCACCTTTTAAAACTGACTTTGTGTGCCACTTTGTTCAATAACTAATTTTTTATATGTTACTAATGTTTATACGTTACTGATGTTTTATATGTTACTGATGTTTATACGTTACTGATGTTTATATGTTACTAATGTTTATACATTACTGATGTTTATATGTTACTGATGTTTATACATTACTGATGTTTATACGTTACTGATGTTTATACGGTTCTGATGTTTATTCGTTACTGATGTTTGTATGTTAAATCTGAGCTTATGTAATAAAGAGGATTTGGGAAAACAAAAGTGTGTCTTTCATGTTGATCAAGTATTATTGGTATATCTGTTAGGGATGAGCTTGTGGGGAATTTAACTGTGACATCCTGGAGAAAATAACGTAAAAACAAGTTAAGATAATTTTAACCTGTTATTAACTGTCATTTTTGAGAACACTAGGATGGATAGATAACATTTTCCTCCTCCCCTCTTTCCCTCCCTCTTTCCCCCATTTCCCCCCTTTTCCCCCATGCCTAGCAGTCCCTTTTGCCCTGTTTTGTTTTGGCCGAGTGGTTAAGGCGATGGACTAGAAATCCATTAGGGTCTCCTACGCAGGTTCAAATCCTGCCAACTATGTGTGAAGTTTGGTTTGCCGTTCAGACAGGACAGTACTTGGCTAGCATTAGTGACAATCTTCTGTTCACAGTTGTTACATACCTACTATTCTACAGAGAATTTGCCAATTGAACAAATGCAATGCTTTTCATTCTGAGTAACCTGAGTCCGGTGTCATTCCAATGAATGTTCAGGATCTGCCCAGCATCAAAATGAAAAGGAACAATAGCTCTGATGATAGTTCATGTGAAGAAAAAACAAACAAACACACAGTTGGCAGAATAAATTTCACCAAATTCACTGGGAACAGTTCAACTAAATCTGTATGAAGTGAAAAAATGTCACCGTTTCAACATTTCATATTATTGCTGTCACTGAAAGGTATCAAGGCTTTCAAAAAATCACATTAAAACTGAAGTACATGTGATACAATTGGGGTAACATCAGAGATACATTGCAGCAGTCACAGAAGACAGTAAAGTCAAATACACAGATGAGACTGCCCCTAGCGAAGCACTTACGAATGTAATGCAAATCAAGTTGCTCCTATATGAAGTAATCGAATTGTGATTTCTTTTGAAAGTATTGGATATTGTCCAAACTGTTTAACGTTTAATACATTGTAAACAAAAATATAGTATCTTTAGTTGATTGAATCACCCAACATCACCCCAACAAATAGTACTTACCATTCAGGAAGGTCAGAGCCATTGATAGGATATCAACGGTGACAATAAGACAGATAGGTGGTCTACTTCTTTTGCATCTTCTCCTGCCATGTTTACCATGACAAATGTAATCACTGCATGCCTGCTTTCCTAGAAGTTGTCCACTGATAGTTTACATTTACATTTACATTTATTCACTTAACAGGCGCTTTTATCAAAGCGACTTACAAATAAGCAAAGCGATATATCAAGCAGGGACCAATACAAGTAGTGCTACTATACAAGATCCATTAATTGAATACCAGAGGAAGCAAAGTGTACAGAGTAGAGGTGTAAGTGCATTGTCTGTGTTTTTTTTTTTTTTTTTTAGGAGTTGGTTAGGAGTCATTGGAAAGGTGGGTCTTTAGCTGTTTTTTGAAGATAGTGAGAGATTCTGCAGTCCGGTTGAGGTCGGAAGAGCATTCAACCACTGGGGAATGGTATGCGTGAAGGTTCTGAAAAGGGACCTTATGCCTCGCTGAGTGGGAACTACTAAACGTTGGTCGCTAGTTGATCGCAGATTGCGAGAGGGAATGTATGCCTTCAAGAAGAGAGCTGAGGTAGGAGGGTGCTGTTTCTGACAAGGTCTTGTAGGTGAGCATCAAGGCCTTGAACTTGATGCGCGCAGCTACAGGGAAGCCAGTGGAGGGAGATGAAGAGGGGTGTGACATGAGTAGTCTTGGGCTGGTTGAAGACAAGCGGCTGCAGCATTCTGAATCATTTGAAGGGGTTTGATGGAGCTGGCTGGGAGGCCTGAAATCAGTGAGATACCTTGAAGGATCTGTCCGAAGATAGGATTCCACCCAGCGTAGAACCGTTCCAGTGATGCCCAGGTTGGAGAGAGTTGATAGGAGGATCTGATGGTTCACAGTGTTCGAAGGCAGCAGAGAGGTCAAGTAGGATGAGGACGGTTGATCTAGAGGTTGCTCTTGCTAGTCGTAAGGCTTCAGTGACGGAAAGCAGAGCAGTCTTCGTGGAATGGTTGCTCTTGAAGCCAGACTGCTTGGTGTCTGGGAGGTTGTTCTGTGTGGGGAAAATTGTAGAGTTGATTAAAAACGGCTCTTTCGAGAGTTTTGGAAAGAAAGGGTAGGAGGGAAACAGGTCTGTAATTGTCAAATATAGAAGGATTGAGTGATGGTTTCTTAACCAGTGGGGTAACCGGGCTTGCTTAAATGAGGTAGGGTATGTGCCAGTAGGAAGCGATGTGTTAAAGATGTGTGTAAGTGCAGGTAATAGTGTGGGAGAGATGGATTGAAGAAGTTGAGAAGGGATAGGTTCAAGGGGACAGGTTGTGGGATGGCTAGAGAGGAGGAGTTTAGAGACCTCAGTCTCTGAGAGGGAGAGAAGGAAGTCATTTGGGAGGTACATGGAGGAGGAGTTGGTCTATGCATGTCTGGGGTTGAGAACTGGTTCCTAATTGATGTAACCTTGCTGGAAAAAGAAACTTGCAAAGTCATCTGCAGTGAGAGAGGTAGGGGAAGGGGGAGGAGGGGGACAGAGAAGAGGGAAAAAGTTTTGAAAAGAATCTCCGGGTGTTGGGAGAACTACCAATCTTATCTTGGAAGTATGTGGTTTTAGCAATGGAGATGCTTTTGGAAAAAAGAGGAGAAGTGTCTGGTAATTGGTTTAGGTCAATTGGATTGTTTGATTTGCGCCATTTTCTTTCAGATGCTCTTAGTTTATTATTATTATTATTATTATTAGTTTGGCCTGGTTGCTACGCAGAGCTTCTGAGAGCCAAGGACTAGAGGGTGATGTGCGAGCAGGTCAGGAGGTTAGGGGGCATATGCTGTCAAGAGAAGATGTTAAGGTGGAACATAGCATGTCCGGTTGCGGTGTTTACGTCAAGTGAGAGAAAAGTGGTTGTTAGAGGGAGGTAAGGTTGTGACAATGGAGGAGAAATGTGGGGGAAAGGGAGCGAAGATTGCGATGAAAAGAGATGGAAAGAGGAGACAGTGAAGGGGGTGAGGGGAGAGAAATAGAGAACTGGATAAAGAAGTGGTCAGAGGTGTGGAGAGGACTAATGAGAAGATGCGTGTGTGGTGTCACGGTGCGTGTGAGGATGAGGTCAAGCTGTTTGCCGGCTTTATGGGTTGCTGGTGTGGTGAGCTGCTTGAGGTCAAATGTGTGAAGGAGAGCAAGAAAGTCAGCTGCATGTGGCTTGTCTAGATGAATGTTGAAATCACCAAGAACCAGAAGAGGAGTTCCATCATCTGGGATGGTGGATAGTATTCAAATTCATCGATGAACTTCCCAAGATGACCTGGAGGACGGTAAACAACAAGAAAGTCCATTTTTCCGGGTCAGTGACCATAACAGCATGAAATTCAAAAGAAGTGTATGAGCAAGAGGGAGAAAGACAGGTAAATTTCCATGTTTTGGAGAGAAGCAAACCTGTACCACCCCTCGTCTGTGGGGGCGTGAGGTATGGGAGAAGTTGAAGTTGGAGACCAGGGCAGTTTACCAGTTGACCACTTTTTATTTCTGAGGGGCCTGAGTCAAGTGATGTTCATTGCAATGCTTGGAGTCTGATCATAAATTGAGATGATTCACAGTCCAACCCACATGTGATGATGGCAGATCACTCCTTGTGAATGAACCAGGTCATTCACACGGTGACAGGCAGTTATCACGCTAGGTTGAGAGTAGGTAAACAGCCAAATGATGCTCTCACTGATGTATTAAAAAGTATTGCTCTAAGAGATTTCAACACATGTTTCACTAAGCATATGTGCAAGAATTTTTAATAGATATTTATAAAGAGAAACACTTTAGTTAGAATCTCAACAACAATGAATGTGATTATAGTTTCACACTCCACATTGCGGTGTCCAAATTCACTGAAAGTTGCCCCAGCTTGTTAGCACTTACTTTAAAACTGCAGTAAATGCTGCCAATTAGGGTGACTTTCAGCCGAGCTCATCGCAGGACTCACACAAAGTAAGTAATGTCAAATACACAGCTGAGTCTGCCCCAAAGTGTAGCACTTATTGATGAAATCAGTGCTTCTATTTCAAGTAATGTAATAGTGGTTTTTATTTGGACAGTATTGTCTGTCAAACTACGAATGAGAACTTGCATTAAACCTGCATTAAAAGTCTTCTTGATTCAAATCCAGACTGTGCACAGCAGATTGGCAGTCCATCAACTTAACCTATTGCTGAAAAACAGGGCAAAAGGGACTGCTAGGCGCGGGGAAAAGGGGGGGAAAGGGGGGAAAGGGGGAAAGAGGGAGGCAAAAGGAGGGGGAGGGGAAATGTTATCTATCCATCCTAGTGTTCTCAAAAATGACAGTTAATAACAGTTAAAAATTATCTTAACTTGTTTTTACGTCATTTTCTCCAGGATGTCACAGTTAAATTCCCCACAAGCTCATCCCTAACAGATATACCAATAATACTTGATCAACATGAAAGACACACTTGTTTTCCCAAATCTTCTTTATTACATAAGCTCAAATTTAACATACAAACATCAGTAACGTATAAACATCAGTAACGTATAAACATCAGTAACGTATAAACATCAGTAATGTATAAACATTAGTAACATATAAACATCAGTAACGTATAAACATCAGTAACATATAAACATCAGTAATGTATAAACATCAGTAACATATAAACATCAGTAACGTATAAACATCAGTAACATATAAAAATCAGTAGTACGTATAAACATTAGTAACATATAAAAAATTAGTTATTGAACAAAGTGGCACACAAAGTCAGTTTTAAAGGGTGGCTTTCCACTCTGTGATGGTTTCGCGCAATTCGGGACAGTACCATTTCCCTCTCAACTGGGTATGGCCAGAAAGTTTGTTTTGCTTGACCACAGTCTTTACACTGATAGTGGTAGCCTTCGTTGTAGTGCCGCTTTTAGGCGGTTCCCCTTTAACCACCCGCTCCTGATCCTCAAGTACTGTCTTTCCGCAGTCTCCACTCCGGGGGGACGATTCCGAGAGGGTGCTGCCAAGATAGGAGCTGACGGTTGTCCCTGTGGATAGGTCGACCATCCCTGAGAGTGGCGCTGGATTTGGTGGTTGTCCCAGTGGATATGGCGGCCATGCCTGAGAGAGTGGCGCTGGATTTGGTGGTTGTCCCAGTGGATAGGGGCGGCCATGCCTGAGAGAGTGGCGCTGGATTTGGTGGTTGTCCCTGTGGATAGGGGCCGAAATGCCTGAGAGAGTGGCGCTGGATTTGGTGGTTGTCCCAGTGGATATGGCGGCCATGCCTGAGAGAGTGCATGCGGTGGAAGACCCTGCAGTCCCAGTTCTGCCACAGTGACGTCGGCGAATCATTGCCTCACCCTCAT